TACAAAAAAAAAGAAAAGACAAATAAAAATAAATATTCATATTTTTTTTTTTTAGATTCGTCAATATTGGTTAGCAAAAAAAAAGAACGAGCCAAGCAAAAGAAAGAAACAAAATAATATATATGTACACCCAATTTAAAAGAAAAAATATATATATATATATATATATCGTCAGTATATAGACAGCAAAGAAACCAATGTATAAGTTTTTTTTTTCTAATAGTGGGAGCCTAAGTATATGTATTTATATATATGTGATGATCTACTTCACGCTTGGCACGATCTCGACGAATACGTGTAACAACAGCTGCAGTTCGTCTCATCGATCGACGAATAGTTGCATATGAATCGACAACTAAAACAGCAGCATTTGTTTGACTAACAATCTGTGCTAATGGTCGTCGATAACATATATCATAACCCAATGATAAATCACCAGAATAAGAAAAATAATTAGGTTGTGATTGTTGTTGTTGATGATGATGATGATGATGATCTAGATTTGTTGATTCCTAAGAGGTGGCAAGGCAAGGCTGATAATAGAAGCAAGACAGGAAAAAAAAAACAAAAGCTTTTGGCAAGTTTGAGCAAAAAAAAAAAGATCAAGGAGAAGCATTCATAAAAATTTATAAGATAAATTATTGAAATAGAAAGTAAAATACCTCGAATATTGGCCAATTCATTTTCATTGTTGCACCATATGTTTCCGACCACCATGATAAATCTTTATCTGGATCACAATTTTCAATTGTTTGAGAAAATTGTTGAAATATTGGTGATCTAAGAGAATAAAAATTCGGTTTGAAGTTTAACATTAATCGAATTCATTTTATATTGAATAAATCGATCCGATGTTTTGTTTTCCTTTTTCTATTTATTGTGATAACACCTACGCCTTCCTATCAACATTTATCTTATCAATTAGAAAAAAAAACGCAATATATTCAACGAAAAATATTCAAGTTTTTTTTTTGATACAATGACTTTTGAACTATTCTGTATAACTTTCATTTACAATTGATCACGTTCAGACATATGGCAATAATCGATTAATTTTATCTCATACATTCAAGATGGATCATAAAAAGAAAATTACAATATCTCCACTTCAATTCAATCTAATGAACTCTTTAGAGATTTTTTTTTTCTTTCTTATCGATAACATATAAATAAATAATATTTTGAAGTATCATTATAAAGTCTCGTAACATAGATTTAGATTGATCTCATAGATTGTTTTGCTTTGTTACGTAAGACAATAGTATACAAAAAAAAAAGAAATAACAAAACGAACTTTATAAATAATAGAAATTTTCAAGTGTGTAACGTTCTTATTTTTTTTTTTTTGTTTTGAATTGAGATCTGACAAATTCAATTATACATTCGAATTATTGGATATGAATTCATACATTTAAAGAAACTAATTGTAAAAGTTTGCTTGGTGTGTGTTAATATAATAATCTTAATAAAGTTCATGTAATCGATTTTTGTTTGTTCTCTTATTATTTTTCTTCGATAGACATCTCTAATAAACTCAATAATAATATTTCAATGCAACATGTATTTATATTATCTATATCAAAAACAAAAAAAAAAAAGAAAACATCTAAATAACCTATTAGGTTGAATTGAAGTGGAAATATTCTAATTCTTTTTGTAATAGTATAATTCAATTTACTTACTTTAATCGATTACTAACATCAAGATATTTTTCGGTAGTAGCTAAAAATTCTTGAAATTTAATAAGACGATCTTTTTCAAATGATTGACACCGGTGAAAAACCTTTCATAGAAAGAAAACAATATAAATAAATAAATAAAATTATTAATATGAATTAATATTTACATCGTTCATATCATCCATATATTTTGGATTAGCTCGATTAAGATCTTGAAGTGCTTCGGCATATTTAACTTTAGCAGAATCTTTTTCTTTACGACATCGTTCAACTTTTTCAGCAATTTTAGCACGCTAAAATTAAAAAAAAAACTCTTTTTCAAAAATTTTAACAGTCATATTTATTTACTTGTTCTTGTGGAACTGCTGCATCAAGTTTAGAATTATTTTCTTGTGTTTCAGCTGTTTTAAGATTTTTTGTTGCAACATGATATTCACGTTTATATTTATCAACTTTACCATATAATTTAGCCCATGGTTTTTGAGCCTATTAAAGAAAAAAAAAAACAGCGGAAGATCAAATAATGAGATTAATTGAAAGGAAAAAAAAAAGTAAAACACAAAAAATACGAACTCGTTTAAATTCTTCATCGTATTCTTTTGTTGATTTGATATGCATCATTGATTTAACATATTTTCCTTTTTGCCATCCTTTTATTGCTGGTATAACTTCATTTTGTAAATCATCATGAACATTTTGATGAACGTCAGCTGTTGCATCAGCTTCAGCCATGATTGCTTTCCAAGCTGATGTCATTGAACCAAATTCAGATGCTTAAAAAGTAATAATAAAAAAAAAGAAAGCATTCAATAGAAATACTAATTATAAAAGAAAAAAAAAGATTTACATTTTGCTACATAATCAGACCATTTTTTTGACCAACTTTTAAGTGTTTTTGAAAATGCTTTTTCAAGTTCAGCACGTTCATTAATCATACTAATAAGATCGGTTGTTAATTTATTTCCATCGTCACATCGTTTTATAACTCGACTATATTTACCAATCTATAATAAATTAAATTATATAAGAAAGTCATAAGAAAACAAATTCTATCTTTTTTTTTTTTTTGTTTTTCTAGAGCTTAATACATACTTCCCAAAATGAATCACTTTGTGGTAAATAAAGATCATTGTCTGTATTTGATTTATCACTAATTATTGAATCCATAACAGAATAACTAATAGATTAAAAATGAAACAATCTAAAATAGAATCGAAAATTACCTTTTCTTTTTTTGAAAAACAGATTATTTTTACTATTATCATTGATATATCACAAAATTTAAAAACAAAAAACTTGTCATTTAATCCATAGATAAATGTCATCTCATAGTGCGTTTCTATCACGCATAAAAAAAAATAAAAAACACATTCATATCATGTGATATAGAAATGGAAAGAGAAAGTACAAGGTAAAAAATAATTATAAGACATGAAATCAACAATACTACCATTATTATTTTAAAAAAAAAACCATATGCCTTTCATTCAATTAGAAAGAACAAACAGACGTTAGGACTTATCCTTCATTTGTAATTTTGATGAAGAAGCATAAAAAGAAAAAATAATAAATTACGAGAATCTTCGGTATCATATTTAGAAAGGTATATAGAAAAAGAAAAGAAAAACATTTGGATCTCTTAAGTCGTATTAATCTATTAGCACAACATTCTCATCAACCAGATTCAAGTCAAATGAACCATATTACTTGGTTGTGTGTTGGTCTTTTTCTTTCTCTCATATTTTCGATCAAGTTTCTCCCTTTTCACAAAGTCTCTCGTTTTTTTTTCTTCTTTTTCTTCGTCTTTTCCAGTGTTCTAGATTTTTGCAAAAGACACAAAAAAAAAGAAGAAGAAGAATATAGAAATAGAAATACACGACCGATTTGAATTGATTACTTATCGATTGTTTCGATAACCTAGAGTATGAGAGAAAAAAAAATAAAATGACAACAACAATAATGACTTTACTTAGTAAAATCCTTGACGATTGCAATAGAAATAAATGAGATAGAAAAAAAAAAAAGATAAGGATGAATGAATATTATACGGTCTATCGGTAATAGACAATGATCATATCGTATATATGTTGTTAAACTAAACTAACGTTTAAAATATTTTATACGAGACAGACGATTATGATCTTCATATTTCTATAGTCATGTCTCTCGTTCAGTAAAATATATTATTTTTATTTTCCCAAATGAGAAATTAGTCAAACTATTCATGTTCTATTTCCTTAAGGAAACATAAATGCATAAAAAATAGAAATAAATTTATCAATGGAAAAAAAGAAACTAATGTCATATGGATATATTGAAAGAAGCATTACCTGTGCAATATAAACTATTGTTATTATTGTTTTTATTCTGCTTCTTCTGTTCATTCACAGTTCAGGTCAATCGATGCCTTATCGACAACATCAACACTACCGACGCCTCGACAACAACGTAATGTCAGTGAGCATATACATACGAAAAGAGAGAATGAATTGAAGTATGTGAACGAATAATTGTTCGGAGTTCATCTCCGTTGTTATGGTAAGAGAAAAAGAAGGAAGATGAGAATGAACGATTTCTTATGGTTGGTATGTGATGTTCAATGTATAACTATGTACCTATATTATTGAACATTCACGAAAATGTAAATGATCTTGAACTCATACGATCATTGAATCAATGAATGTTGACCTTCGTTCTCTTTTATGTTAATGAAAGAATTTAGATTCAATGTTAGTCAATTGAAAAATTCCTATGTTAATTATAGAAAGAAATTCGAATTGAAAATCTATTATATTTATTCATTTTTATATCATTTTTATGACACATTGATAAAAAAAAAGAAGCTAAGTCAATCTTACCAGTAAATGATATCTTTATATAACAAAGGTAATCTGAAATGTGTATATATTACTTGTCTAAAAAGTAAAATAGCACGAATTCTGATGTGCTTAGAAAGGCAAAAGTGAATGAAGAAGTACAAAAATTTTCATGACTAAGCGCAAATAATAATAAACAGAAGGAAGGAAAAAAAAAGGAGAGGAGAAAAAACACATATTCTTATTGCTTCATTGGTAATTAGATAAGGTCAAAATATAATTAATTATATTCTGATTTATTTTATTTGAATATTTTATTTTAAAAAAGTAGTTTTAACTATAATTCTCATATTTTTCATGAAGAATAAACAGATGTCGCTAAATAAATAGCCAATTACTAATCAGTTTTCCGGTACAACTAATCGCAATTCAAAAACAAACAAGAACTCGTTACAAATTATTTTTCTTGTGCACATAGTAGTTGCTAGTTTATTTGTTAAAAATAATGGCAGCGTTAGTAAGTCGTGGTTTAGCACAGTTAAAGAGTAAAGAGATGCGTGATTATTTAACGAGGTAAAGTATATAATACATTGTATAGTTATTATTTTAATTTTTTTAAATAAATTTTAGCACGGTAAGAAATGATATAAATGCTTTGTTTGACCATCTTATTTATTTTTATTCTATTCATATGAATAGCATTTTTGGGGACCAAGTAAATATTCTTATTGATTAATAATAAATTCATACAGAAAAAAAAATTCTTTTTTTTTGTTTTTATTTATTTTTAGTTGCTAATTGGGGTTTACCATTAGCTGCTATAGCAGATTTAAAAAAAGATCCTGAAATTATTAGCCCAAAAATGACTGTTGGTAAGGATTAAATAAATGATATTGAAGTTCATTTTTTTTTATTTTTATTTTCACATAGCTTTATGTTTCTATTCAATGCTATTTATGCGTTTTGCTGTTCAAGTAAAACCAAAAAATCGACTTTTGTTTGCCTGTCATTTTGCTAATGAATGTGCACAATTGGTGCAATTAGCAAGATTTCTTAACTACAAGTATAAAATTTTTCTTTTTGTTTGTTTTTTCTTAGTAATTGTTGTTTTTTTTCCTTTAAGATATGGTACACCACAACCGATGAAACAATATCAAGTTCCATCAACTGCTAGTATACCAAAAACAAATACACCAACATCCGCTCAACTTGCACGCCCTACATAAAGAAATAAAGATTAGATTTAAAAAAAAAACGACTTGCAGTAGTTTCGTAGTTTTTTTCTTCTACTTTAGCATTTACTGTTCTTGAGAAATTTTTTTTCTCTATCTATCACAGATTAGGTTATTAAACATCTTCTGCTTTATAGTCAACTATTTTAGTATTAAGTTTTGATTAAACATATTATGATCATAAGTCAAACTTTCAATAAAGAACAAATATATATTATCGAATATCTAAGAATCCCAATAAATATTAGTGAATTGCTGTAGATTATGATTTAAATGGAAACCTTTGAAGAAATATGATTGTAGTATGAATTTGTAATTTTATTCTGAAATACTGGAAAGTCAACATGTTTTGGAATTTCAATATTTTATATTCTCAATAGTTCATCAGATTACAATGAATTCATTTTTTTCAAAATCAATCGTTAAAAATAACTAAATTTAATTTTTTCAAATAATCCGATACTCTCAATTAACATATTCTATAGTCTATTGATGGTTATTTTATTCTAGTTGAAAAAAGAAATAAAACCGCACTAAATTAACCACTAACACTATCTTCATTTCTCAATATAAATCGCAGAATGAATGTCATGCATTAGAACTTTCATTTTAATACAACAGGCAGATCATAATGAATTGGACTAATTGTAAATGTAATTTTTCTATCATTTATATATCAAAAGATAACGAACTTCAAGTTCTACAATACTGTACTTCACTTTTACAAAGAACTTTTGGCTCTATATGAGTATCCGGGCGTAATTTATCTTCAATGATTATACTTTTTATTGTCTGCTCTGTTTTTGTCATTTTCAGATACTGTTCTTCTACAAATGCCCCAGAAAACACTTTATGAGGCATTTTGTAGGAGAACAGTATCTGAAAATGACAAAAACAGAGGAGATAATAAAAAGTATAATCGTTGAAGATAAATTACGCCCGGATACTCATATAGAGCCCATTTTTTTATTTTTTAGATTCTTCTTCAAGAACAACTTATTGAAGAGATTCAAACTGTGATTTTAATAGTTCTCACAGCGGCCTACAAAAATGAGATGCGAATAATTTTTAGGGCATAGTTATTTTAGATTTTTTTTTTACACAAAAATATTTTCTTTATTCAGTGATAACTAAAAGCTGTTTTATGTACTGCTCAAGGCAGAGTTTAATGGGTTAAATTTTGGTATATAGCACTGATTCTAATATCAAAATATTAATTAACAATTAATTAGTGGTAATTAATCAATTGATTATTAGTTATTACTAACTGATTGTTATAATTAATTAATAAAATTTTATTTTGTTTTCAATTATTAGATATCTTATGAGAAAGAGCATCAAAAATTGAACAAAATGTGGCAATTATTATTTCAGAATAGATCATTTTAATAAAGTTTTCAGTCTTAACTTGCCATAGATCACATTATTTTTCAAAAAGTCAATTAGGAAACGGAACCTTAAATCTGGAGTAATTGGCGTGTTTTGAGGAGTAGAATTTACTCGTTCAAACGACACCTAGCCACTTTTCTGTAATTTTACACATCATTATTTGGAAGTGTTGTAACATTTGAAAAGAGTATTGTATTGAGGGCGATGACGTTTCGTTTTTAATGGGCAAGTCCTACTTCTTCAAAACATTCTAGTTTTTTTAGATTTAAGGTTCCATTTTTTAGTTGAATTTCCTAAAGATCATGAACACTATGACCAGTTAAAACTGAAAACCTCAATAAAATAATCTATTTTGAGATAATAATTATATCATTTTGTTCTATTCTCGATGCTCTTTCTCATAAGTTACTTGATAGGTGAAAACAAACAGAAATTTTATTAATTGGTATTTTAATATAAGATAAATCAGAAAAATGTGATGCTATTCTAACTGAAATTTGATCAAGAGAGAGTGACGAATAAACTTCATAGAATAGAGTAAAGGTCGAGATTCTGTCGGACAGAATGGGATAAGGATTAGAAAGTTTATCTTGCATATCTCTAATAAATACATGAAAGATACAATGATATTCTTGTATGCTTTAGTAATTTTTTTCATGTCATGATAATAGAAATATGCAAGTATGAGTTCAATTTATACTGTTATCTACTCATATATTTGAAAATAAAAATAATCAAAGAATTCAGTATGTACTTAGCTAACTTGTAAAATTCATATTCATTTTATTAATTCAATTAGACTATAAATATTGATAAATATATATCATATAATGATCTAGAAGAAAATATTTATTTAAGATAATATGATCAAATTTTATAATTAGAGAATACTATTTTATAGACCAATCTAAAGTCAAATAATCCAAATGAACCTGCGAGTACTTCGATACAAGTTAACTTCTATTAGATTCATCTGTTAGGTATACTATAACATTTTTTTCTATAAGACAAATTCATACATAGAGAATACATAAATTGAATTCTTCTATACATTCAACCCTCTGAGTACCGTTGGGACAATTTTGTGTCTTAATATTTTACGCTCGAATTAGTTTTTATAAATATCATATACTAATTATTCATGTGATTCGAACCGAACAAAAGCCGACGATAAGCCGTCAGTAGTTCGTTTGGTATAATGTGCACTATATTGGTAGTAGTTTGATACTTAAACAGTTGGTTATTGTCTGACCGCCATTCTACAACAGTATACTAATATTTGTTCTCTGACCGGGAGTATCCAACGAAATGAAATGCATATATGTTTACGTTTATAATATTCGCCCGCTCAAGATCAACTACATTCTCATTCTAAACTCACTTGTAAGTGTAGGTTCTCCCTTAAAGTTTAAATACATTTGAAGAGTTATCGTTACTTTTAAAAGTCACTTCCTTTCACGTTTCTCAAAATATTAATACTTTTTTTTTGTGTTAAACTATTCGTTTTTGGTCGAGTTTCGTCCTCTTTCTATTGAGGTATAGCACATGTCATTCTATTCACGTTATGCAAAGCACAAGCAACAGTTACCTTTGAAAGTAACTGTAGCTGCTCATCCTTAGTTTAAATCCAATCGGTTACGATTACAGCTAAGATCTTATCAAACTGATTAAGAAATATTATTTTGAATAATGCATTTCATGATTTAAAACCAAACAATGATTTCGCTTTTCGAAAATTTTCATTTTTGTTTTCAAAAAAATTAATCTCGTACTCAAATGGTTAAACGAATAATATAATATATAGAATCTATGAAAATTTTGGTAAAAGATGATGATTACATACCATTTGATAATTATGAATAGTTCCGTAGAATCTTGGTTGAGCACAGGAACAGATCTAATTGATCGAATTAAATTTATTATTTAAAACATTAGACAATTATGTATTATTGTCCTACTCATTAATGGTTTTATTTCTATTCTTATTAATCTTTCAATGGATTTTGATTATTTATATATCAATAGAATCATTTAAAACAATTCTATATATTATAAAATTTGGATTCTTCTTCTCTACGTGCAGATAAGCGTTAATAGCCTTTGGACATCAATTGAAAAACATATTTGTATCTTTTACAAATCACTATTCAATACAAAAACGAAAGTATTTTCTTATTTACTATAGTTGATTAATTAGTATTTCTCTATCCGATCATTATTATTATATTTCTTCATCTATGCGAAAAAGCAATCTTCCATTATTCACAGATGGTTTATGATGGATTATGTTATTTGACTAGTATTTCTAGGTTAGGTACAGCTAATCAATTCGTTCATAATATCATTCTTACTAATTGTATAGAATTCTTTAATTCAAAGCTTGTAAGTCGAATTATTTGGAAAAAAAACATGATCATATGTCACTATTGATTCAATGACAATATAAATTTTATCTACACCTTTGATTTGTCTAACAAATGTCGAAATCTATGCTCTTATGATAGTTCTGATGTTTGAAATTATTAGCATGGAAAATGGAAACATAAATTTCTTTTTAAGATGAAATAAAATAAGCAATTATTAAGAATTGTTCGATCTTGTAATAAATGTTTAGAATAGATTGGATAAGACATGTTTCTCTTCAGTTTCTTGTTGAAATTCGCAGAAAAAGATTGACGTAGAAAATATACAGAATTCTGTAAGATAATATTTAATAAAAAAAATCATTTTCAAAATATGATAAAATAATATTATCAAATACTAGTGAATTTCCATGCAGATTAAAACAGTTTTTATCATACGTCTGTATCTAATTCATTGCAAATGAAAATGATATCGAACGAGAAAATCTCTCTAGATGACCAAAAAACTTTTAAGACGAAATTTCAATCATTAAGTAGAGTCTTATGAGTAGATATAGGCAAGATGGTCTCAGTCTCGAAATTAAAAACCATTGGCCTCGATCAAGTCTACTAATGAGACTAGACAAAATCTGTAATGATGTGTATACTTACTTCTTTGTTTTCGAGTAACGACCATTTTATTGAGTTCTTGATTTACGACGAAAGGTCCTCAAATGTGATTCGCCAATCGAACTAATGTTTTACTCATACGTAGACCTCGATGAAACTAGTCAAAACCTATGAGAATTTGTCTCCATCTGCTGCTCTTCCTAAATTATTGCAGTTTTATTGAATTTTTTATCCATGGGAAAATATTTGTGACAAATCACAATACGGATTTTTAACGTGAAAATTTCAGCCTAAAACCATGTGCTCTACTTAAGATATTGAATAATCAAAAATACTCATGAATCAAAAGGAAAAGTAATAAAACCTCAATATTTTCATAGTCCAATATCTCAAGAACAACACATTGTTTTGAACTGAAATTTTCAAAGTATTCTAAGGTTCATGAGACCTACCCATGGAAAAAATTTCAGATTGAAATTTCGCAATTGATTTTTTCACACATAGCTCGCCGGAGATAAAAAAAAAGTAAGTGAAATTGTAATAACTTGAAAAGAATAGACTATGAGAACAAGCTCTTATAGGCTTTTACTAGGTCTCATTAGGATCTATTTATTGGTAAAATATTAGTTCAAT